ATTTTTTTTCCAAACTCAACTGGACGACAGCTGGACGAGCAAATAGACAGATAGATAGGAATATCGCCTACGAATCGGTATTTTTTCCCTTCGACCTTCTTCGGCTAGTACGTCTGTTTTAGAAAAGTGTTCACACACTCTTGACACAGCCGGCTTTCGATCAGTCCTGATATGTACATGTGCGTCTTTAAGGTTACTCAAACTTGAGATTAGGAACGCCTCAAGACTGGTCTATGTCGATTACGCAGGATTCGTCCCACACATGTGCGCAGGAGATGTGCTGAGCGATCGGTACAAGGACACGCGAAAGTAATTCCAAGGTTGTCCAGTTCGTCTGGCGCCTCCTTGTTCGATCAAGATCGAATGGACGAATGGATTGGCTTTCAACGAGTCCAGCGAGTTCATCAACACGGTTCTATTAAATCCTTCATCTAAATTCCCGACTCTCTCCCTCTCTCTCTCTCTCTCTCGACTCTACTGACGTTCCTTTCTTTTTTTTCTTCTAACTGTAATTCTAAAGCTATAGCGTAGGATTCCATGTTAGTGAGCATATAATCTAATCGAAGAAAATGACAGAAAGTTATGATACGTTCATAACTGTCCCGAATTTCCGCGGATGCTCATTTAAACAATTAAAAAATATGTAAAAAATTAGACTCAGTCTCGAATTGCCAAACAAATCATCCTTAGTTCTCTTATACTTTTGTTCTAATAATCAGATGGTATACTTGGAATTCGAAGTTGTTAATAGGAAATAACTGTGTTTTTTTTTAATCTTTGTTGCAAAATTCTCACATTTTTTTTACATTATAATGGCAGAAGGATGAAGTTTCGAATGTTACTATCCGCTAAGTTTTAATGCATCTGTCCGACTTTTATCTTATTTTTAGCAGAAAAATGAAGAAGAGAGTTTTTACTTACGATGAAAATGTGCTTGAATTTAAATTAATTTAAAACTGACTAAAGTACTTAAATTCAAAAGTAGTGCTTAAATTTTTAAAATATAATGAACTTTAACTAGAAGTCCGCAGTTTATACATTATTATTAGCAATATAATCCGCAATTAATATTTCTATTAAAAATTCGAGAATCATTGTACATTATTAGAGGCTTGGCTTAAATAGTTAGCAAAAGTTTAAAAATAGACGACCTTATCAACGTTCATCGACATTTCCGAAATAAATCGCTATTAGCGGCGTTATTTTGAGTATATACGTCATCTCTGTCGCAAATTTTCCTTACCTTTTATTCACAGACTTATAATAACGAAACTATCGTTCTACAAGATGTCCCATCCTGTCATTGGTCTATCTTTCGATCTGATCGACATCAAATAACTCGCCATCTGAAATGACTCGAGTATGAAGCGCGAAAAAAAAATGAGTTCTCGATGAGTTCTCACAGCAACGATATGAGAGTGCTATTAAAAACATCAAAGGATATATTTGATTTTCGAGGTAGTTTAAGGGACCAAGAATTTTTCTAGATCGATCGTCGGCTCGAATTGCAACTCGCGTATCGTCGTGTTCTCCAGTTGCATCATCAAAGACATAAGATAATAAGTTCGACGAACCGTATTGCAGTTACCGCTGTCAAATCGTAATGACATACTTATTATACATACCATATATAATAATATATATAGGTAGTAACGCTAAATTTCTTACAGTGAAATATTATTCCAAGAAAGTGAAAATACAATCACCGTTGAGAAAAAAGTGAAAATATTTCACTTCTCGAAAAAGAGAGTGACAATTTTCGCTCTTAAAAAAACGAAGAGAGTGAAAATACAACTTTGAAAGAGGTGAAGTATTTCATTCTTTTTTCACTTTTTGTTTCGAAAGTATTTTCGAAGTTGTATTTTCACTCTCTCGGAGTGAGATTTCACTGCAAGAAATTTAGAATGACTTACCGGTCATAGTTGTACAATATTATTTTTGAACAATGTGTGGACGCGAGCTCTAGCACGAGCTGATCTTGGCACGCAAGCAGTGCACGTTCCGATTAATCTTGCACAGCTACGTAACATGACAAAGGTTGAGGTAGGTAGACTCGTAGACTTTGGGAACTCCGTTCTGCAAAATACGTATGATTTTATTTTTGTTGTTCCACCGAATGTTAAAGATAAACTAAATTATATAAAACGAGAGGTTGCTTTGCCTAAAATATCATAGCTCGATTAGCTGATGCATTCGCAATCTGCACAACTGCAAATTCTATTCGCTTTCTTTAGTGGGTGGAAGAGAGTAAGAACGTAAAGTAATCATTCATAATTACATAGCGCAGAGAATTTACAACAAGCGTGGGAAAGCCGAGCTTATCGAGCGATTTGTATAGATACACACTCTGTTTAGGCTTATCAATAAGTACACAGATATGTGCTTGACGTTGACAAACGGTGAGCTCCGAGAGACTCCGAGTTTGACAAACATAACAATGACTTAAGTGGCAACGTTAAGTACGTATACTGTCGTCTATGTAACATGTAACTATCCATCTATTTGCTTAGCACTTGAGAATCCGCATTTCCGCAGTTTGCTTTGAATTGTCACTTCGATTACGGGTAATCTGATTAATTACAATTATAGTCGCGAACACTTTGTGTCTATCGCGAATGATTAAAACTTTTTCACGTGCCGATTCTTGTTCTGCAATTTACCATAATTAAATGACAATGCAAACTTTATATCGTGCGCTTCAATAATTACAGATACGCTCTATGTATAACGTGTACGAAAAGTTTCCCAGCACAATGAAGAGAGAAGTCTTATGAATGAGACACTAAAATTAGAACCGACTTCCAGGCACGCCGTCGTTAGTTTTTACTGACTCTCGCTGCATCCCAATTTTATTTCTACGATTTCATTTGACGAAACCCGATCAGGTCGGTGAAGGAAACGATTGCAATCGACGAGCTCTTCTCCTGTCATCACAAAATTGTTTCTATTTTAACAGTCTGAATCACACTTCCTCTCACTCTCTTTCTCTTTCCCTTCGAAGCTTACGTTACGCATTTTGTTGCTCAGCTATCTCATCGAATTTATATCGTTGATTTGTATCGCGAGCATCATGTTTATCTTTATCTAGAAATTTCTCTGTTGTCGGATTGTTTGCTTCCTTCCTTAGAGAGCGACGGATTTTTCGAGGGTTGTAATTTTCTAGGAATGATTGGTAGCTGCATTTTTTTTCATGTTATTCTTCAATGTAAATATAAAAAAAAAGTAATATGTGTGCGTACGCAAAAGAAAATTCAAGCAGAAAGGCAAACAAGACCAAAGAGCAATTCGATACGTCGATGGAATAGCGCTTTGATGTTTTCGTGCTCACCGTTTTCGTATTCGCTAAAGTGTATTTGTTTGACATGCTCTCCATGATACGATCCGTGATACGATTACAAACTCGCAATGTTATGAATCACGGGGTGTAAATTATGACGGATTATTGTTTAGCGCCGGATGTCGTATTATTAGCGAGCAATTAACGTTACAGCTTTAGTTGTCATAAATACATATTCACACGACATGTTTTTATTCGCCTGTGGACTATTATGTGCCGCAACACATTTCCATTTTTAAATCTTTTACGAACCAAATTTTCTACAAACAATACTTAAATTCACACCTTAACAAATCTCGATTCCGTTATCCGTTTAGATCCTTATTCAGGATTACCATATCAAAGCTTTTTAAATTAGAACTTACAGGCCAAAAACTTTGGACTTTTTGTTTGCAATCCTAAATACATACAAAAATACGTATACGTTAATTGGTTCAAATAAAGACTAATTATTTCAACAATTATTAGTCAGTGAATAATTATTTTATATCTAATGGTATATTATATCTAATAGTACTAATTTAAAAAATTGACCAATCATTGATCATTATTTAATTCTACTTTTTTCATTTTTACGATACCTCTCAATCTGGAATAATCAATTCTCATCAGATACTCGTCGAATGAATAATTAATAAATTAATTTAAATTATCTCTGTACTTTATCGAATAAAACTTAATCAGAAGATATTTTTCCACAATAATATTTTAATATATTCAAAATGTTACAGTGCGTTTCGCACATTAATAATGTGTGCGTGTCTTTATATGTGCATAAAAATTTATGCCCTCTATCACAATTTGTATCTTTTCTTTTGAACACTGAATGCGCTTTATCCATCCCCATGCAAGCGAAAAAAAGAGAAAATTATTATGCTTTTATAAAATTACGAAAGCACAGCATTTTATTTCTAAATCATTTAAAATATATATTGAAAAATCTTATATGTTATCTTCCTTTCATATTTTATACAATTTGACTTTTTAAACTTAATGTCTTCTTAATTTTACTGTGATTTTTAACGGCAAAATGAATCGATGTATTCCCAGATCGTGCATTTCGTTTCTCAGGAGATCGATATTCGAATCAAACGTAGCCATTAAGTGCAATATAACCCAGATTTTTATTGTGCGAGGAGATGCTTACAGTAACAGTTTTCGTCTCTCCGCTCGGTTACATAATGCTCGCTCCAAAGCTGAACCTCAAACGAAGAAATAGCTGCGATATTATTTTTACATTTTTCTTCGTTCTCGCGCGTTACGTTATATTGCTAAGCTTTGTCAACAAAATGTTAACTATGTCTCATTGCTGAAATTTTGTACAGGTCATGAAAATGGCGAAGTCAGTGCTGGGTGAAAAGTTGTTCACAAAGCTCATGAAGGCCACGTTTTACGGTCACTTCGTCGCTGGCGAAGATGAGGTGCAGATTACACCTGTCTTAGATAGGCTGCGGCAATTTGGCGTCAAACCAATCCTTGATTATTCCGTCGAGGAAGACATCTCGCAGGAGGAGGCCGAGAGGCGTGAAGTCCAGTAAGTAAAATACTCTTTAAATAAGTTTTACATATTTCTGTGATCGTAACAATTACGTTGTCGCAATTATCGTGCATTGATCTTTTTTATTTTTCGTATGGCCTTACAAGAGTAGTACGTTACTCCGTGGCTCGAATCCCTTCATTAAATGGAATTTAAACCTATGCTTCGCTTTACCGTGCAGGGATATAATGGCTACAGTTTTCTATTTATACTTGCTTGTATTCGATTCTTGCGTGAATGGATTTTAATTTCCATCAGTATGTAAATGGAAAAAATTTAAGAGAGAAACGAGACATCTAAATAGAAAAAAAATAAAATAAAATACAGGCGTAGATTGTAATGGTAATAAATGCCCAAACAGTCGCTAACTATTTGGTATTCTTCCATTTCAGAGCCTCGGTGTCGGAAGCGGGCGATGAAAAGAGGGAGGGCCCGCTAAAGAAGTATCACGTGGAGAAATCGTTCGCCGATCGACGATACAAAGTGTCGTCGGCCAGGACATATTTTTATCTGAATGAAGCTTCGTGTGAGCGAAACATGGACATATTTATCAGGTGTCTGGAGGCTGTGGCGAGTGAGTCACGGATTTTACTTTGGGCTTTCTATAGCAGTTTAAAATCTTTCCTGATTCCTGAATCGACATGTTTGGCAGCGCGATATTAAGCTATACAGGATCTATCACAAACCAATTTGAATGATTTTTCGATTTGAAGCTTGAGTTTCTTGAACAAATTAAGTAGTGAAAATATTTTTTGTTATTTAATTTTAAGTGTGTAAATTGGGAATTTATTTGTTCGTTCTATCATCTTGATCCATTCTGCAATTTATCAAAAACTAGGAACGATGATTAAATTCATGAAGCAGATCGATCTTTTTCGCAATGTTCTTAAAAGGCTTCTTTTAAAGTGCCTCTTGACCTTTTTCGGACCTTATTCGAACGATGCAGTCAGCCAAACTGGTCGTGTATTTTTGCCATCCATAGAAATTGATGCTCCGATTTACCGTCAAGATAACTGCATTACTATTGTCGTACAGTTTGATTTTCATGAACATGATTATCGATCCTAATTACATGGAAATTAATATTTACTATGTGAATATTAATTTTTCGCACATTTTATTACACCCTTATTTGTGGACAATAAAATGTGCGAAAATATAAAATTAATTAATTGAATTGTGTAGTTAAATTAAAATTAAATGTAAAATTATACTTAATCGAAGTAATAAAACCTACGTCACATAACGGAAGGACTGCTTTCTAAGGAAGGGGGAAGAGGTAATTGCGTAATTACAGGGGCGCGATTCCGACGTCACGAAGTCGCGTGCAAGATCGATCGCCATTTTCAACGAATTTTCGATTTCCGTTGACGCAAAAACACTCGCCTCTTCCTGGCACCGGAATTACGTTTAGCAGTATCTATAAAACGCTATCAAATTACGTCAATACGAAAAAGAGAGAAAAATGGTACGTGTTCTCGTTATGCGACGAAACGACGATGGATTAAGTCTTTCACACCCGGCTATAAATACATATATCAATAAATAAGCACGTGCACCATTTGTGTATTTCGCCCAAATTATGTGACGTAACATATCGGACATATTAATGGACAAAAAGTTGTCACGAGTTGACTAAAGTCTAACTAAGAAATAGAGAGAAAAATAAAATCGGTATACTGTAGACTCTGAATGAAAAGTATTTCTTCATAAAATTTTACAGAAGATGAAATTCGAACTTTGCGACTGAAATATCCCTCCCAGAATATTACCACCAATATCCAAGTTGATCACCATCCTGGTAAGAAAGACATTGCTTCCCTTCCTTACCTCAAAATCTTCTCCATACATTTTTCTTTTATTCTTGTGAAGCATTTTTCTTTCTTATGAAAGAATAATTGACTTAATTGGTATTGTAGTATAATACGACGTAACAGGAGATATTTTTGCAGGTGCTTCTATGGGAATGGGCATCACAGCTGTCAAATTAACGGCGCTTGGTCGACCGCAGCTTCTGGTTAGTAATTTTATTTTTACTGCTGACTTTAGTTGTTTATTTGTAAATCTTATAACTGTAATAAAATAATTTATGCTTCAGCTACAATTGTCTGAGGTAATTATGCGTGCACGACAGTATACATCGGATGTTATCGGTGGCGAGGGTGCCGTTCTGGCTCATCATGCAAAGCTTGATGATTTTAAGAAAAAGTTCGAGGAGGCACACATCAAAGATACAGAGGTGCAAAAGTTCCTTCAAAAAATTCAATCGGATAAGGAAGGGTACGCGCGATCAAAATGAAGAATTTTAACGACGTTTTAATACAGAATAGTATTGCAAACACAATGGATATTTTTGTCCACGCAGTGTGATTCACCTCTTCCCGTGGAGCGGTATTCTAGACGAAAATTATGAACTGAGCGAAACGTTCCAAGTACCTGATATTAAGACGGGCAAAATGGTTAGGCTAATGTCGCAACTCACGTCCAAGGAAGAAGAAATGTTTAGGAACATGATCAGGCGTCTAAACAGTATCGTCACGGTAGGTGTTAAGCAATAAAACTTTTCTATCAGTTTTGAGATTCTTGATCGACGTCATAAATGAATAAATCATTCTTTTTTACAGGTAGCTGACAATCTGGATGTTCGTATCATGATAGATGCGGAGCAGACGTATTTCCAACCGGCCATTTCTCGCCTGACGTTAGAGATGATGCGCAAATACAATACGAAAAAGGTAACTTCCTAATGTTCTCAGAGGATCGCGACGTTATCACTTAGCTACTTTTCAGTGAATGATATTCTTACCGCCAAATATCGGTCTACTTCTTAGGCTGTGGTATTCAACACTTACCAGACGTATCTACAAGACGCGTATAATGAGGTGAAAACGGATCTCGAACAGGCAGAACGTCAAAACTTTTATTTCGGTGCTAAACTTGTACGCGGCGCGTACATTGAACAGGTTTGTGAACACTTTTCGAATAAATTTCACTGACCTACGCGGAAATATCGAAGAGTTTTTATTCAGGAACGGGCAAGAGCAGCAGCTATGGGTTATCCAGACCCCACTAACCCAACGTTTGAGGCGACGACCGAGTCCTACCATAAGACGCTCATGGAATGCTTGAGGCGGATGAAACAGTATAAGGACAAGGGAGAAGATCCCAAGAAAATCGGTATTATGGTCGCCTCGCACAACGAAGACACTGTGCGTTTCGCGATCGAGAAGTGAGTATCGATTACGATTTATATTTTATCTGTATTCTCTACGAAAGAATGAATATATGTATATTTATTATACATATATATATGAAATAATCTTTTTACGTTTTTTAGGATGAAAGAAATCGGAATTTCGCCAGAGGATAAAGTCATATGTTTTGGTCAATTACTAGGAATGTGCGATTACATAACATTTCCATTAGGTATGGAACAATTCTTTAAGTTGAAATATTTTTCTATAATATAAGATGAGATATGTATGCATATGGATCAATATTGAATAAAATTTCTAGGTCAATCCGGTTATTCTGCATATAAATACATCCCGTACGGACCGGTTAAGGAAGTATTGCCGTACTTGTCACGACGCGCACAAGAGAACAGGGGCATACTGAAGAAGATCAAAAAGGAGAAACGCTTGCTACTGAATGAAATCACGAGACGTATAGTGCGCGGCAAGCTCTTTTACAAACCCAAGGGCAATTATACTCCAGTTTGAGCAGTCGATCCGTTTAGTTGCACACAAACAGAATTTTAAGTATCAAATTTAAGTAGTGGTTGTAAATTATCGAGGACTCTCCTGAAAGAGCTTGAGGCGAACTCTTTTGATTGAAGTAACTTGACGGACCTGTTACTGTGGTACTCGGAAGAAAGAGAGGGGGGGGGGAGGGATAGGGGCGTCGTGTACGCATCCACGTGCATGAATGTGAATGCAAGACTTGAGAATATACGCAGTGTTATCTGTTACGTAAAAATCGCCTTAGTGTTGTATTATCGAATGTACTGATGCTCAAAACTGCTTATAAGTAAAGCTATAGTATGTACTCGTTTTTTCATCGTTATTAAACAGGATGCCAGTGATAGTGCTATAATTTAGTTTCGAGAACATGTTTTCAAAAAGATTGAGCAAAGAGAATCCAAAACTAATCAACTCTTTCCAAAAAATGGCTTTAGTGTATAAAATAACGATGATTTCTTTAACGATAGTTTGTATATTTTTTGTGCACAGTATTAAGAAATCAACCGTATCAGTGGCTTTTTCGCAACAATGATGACGAAAATTGGAAGAAACCTTATCTTGGTTTTTTAGCATATTTGTGTTTCCCAAGTTTTACAATTTTTTTGAGAATCTCGTCGAATATTTTTCATGTGTATATAATACACGCGCGTATCAATTATTTATGATTCGTGTTCTTCTAAATGTATTATTGTCCATAGTATTGGTAAAAAGGAGAGATAAGAAAAAAAATGCATTGCACATAAATCCGGATGTAATTGTATAATTTGCTACCATCTTGATGATTAACGCTCACGGTGAACATGGTAGAACATGTTTAGAACATTCGCGATATATGTAGTTATTAAGAAGGAACAGATAGTAATTATATCGCGTGCGCTTCCATTAAAAGCGTATAACATTGCCGATGAGCATTTTAATATAGTCCGCGGAATAATAGTGAAATGGTTCATGTCTGAAAAAGAGAAAAGATAAATATCACACAAAAATGGCTTTTTTCTTCTTTATTTGTGTTTAAAAATAACACGCGTGTTATATATACGAAAAGATAGTTTTCTTAGAAATGCGACGAGATAACAGGGTGAAAGTATAATAAGATTCAGAAGCATCTTAGCTAGAGACATGCGGATTTTCGATTGTTGGATAGTATGAAAAGGAAGAGAAGGAAAGAAAGGGAAACAGAGTTCTTCGTAGTGCACGCGTATCAAGTCGCGATATAAAAGTGATTTTGGGCTGACAAGAGACGATAATGAAAGCCGGAGAGATCTGCGAGAAACACGATATTTCTTTTGTGATACGTTAATAGTTGTAGTTAAGCCACATATATATGTACAAGAGATATTAGTCCCACTTTGCTTCAGCCTAAAATTGCTTCTCGCGTTACACAGAATAATCGGTAAGAAAAGCGACACTGTTGAAAGAACACCGCAAATGCTGTTATAAAAAAAGAAAATCTATGCACTCCGTCATTATTGTTTCTTTTCAAGGAAGAAAATAAAGGAGGATAGATTTTTTTATTTAGAAACAATAAATTCATACCGTGATTTAAATAAGAGTTTTAAATATTAACAATCCTTTTCTCATCCGTCATGAGAGAGATTACACTTTGAAAAAAGGAATTATTGGAGATTAAACGATGATCTGATTTATGAAAGAAAGAATTGCGTCCAGTTTCATAATTCAGCGTTACTCGTCCTTGTCAAGAAGTAATTCGCAATTTCGAATATTACGATCTGCAATCAACGATCAGCAAGTTACGATATAATTTAGTCTGTAAGATTGTACAAGCGTTTCCTAGGAAGTTTCGTAGCGTATTCTGATATTCTTAGGCCAGTATTTCCTTTATACTCGCGACGACTTAATAATGTATTCCTCCAGTCGATACTATCAGTTTAATACTAGTATTATTATTATTATTATTATTAGGCGTTAGGAACTCGAAAGCTCATTGCCGCAAATACCAAATCCCGCCACTGTTCCCGTCCCTGAGCCAGATCCCTCCATTTGTGACCCTCGTACCCCATTTCGTTAAGGTCCATTCTAATATTTTCTTCCCATCTACGTCTTGGTCTACCCAATGGTCTCTTCCCATCCGGTTTACCAATTAGTACTTTATATGCAATTCGATTCTCATCCATACGCGCCGCGTGACCTGCCCATCTTAATCGACGCGATTTTATGACATTAATAATATCCGGACTATTATATAATTGATGTAATTCTGCGTTGTGTAATTTTCTCCATTCGCCCGTTTCCTCATCGCGTTTTGCCCCGATGATTTTTCGAAGTACTTTATTTTCGAAAGCCCTAAATCTTTTCTCGTCTTGTAATGTAAGTGACCACGCTTCGCTGCCATAAAGGACTACCGGTAAAATAATCGTTCTGTAAATTCTAATTTTTAAGCGCCTAGACAATATCCGCGAACCGAGTAGTTTCTTAACCGAATAGAAGCACGCATTCCCCAAATTAATTCTTCTCTTGAGCTCTTCTCTTATTTCATTAGTTTGGTTTAAAATCGATCCTAAATACTTAAAATTGCTAACCCGTTCAAAAATTTTATCACAGACGACCAGGTTTCCGTTATTATGAATATTCTGAATTCTATCAGTGACCATATATTTAGTTTTTTCAACGTTTATTTGCAGCCCCAGTTCTTTCGTTTTATCTAATAGAATTTTAGCGTTATTTATTAGTGTTTCTTTATTATCTCCCAACAAAGCAATATCGTCCGCATATGTTAATATTTGTGTTGTACCGTTCAACTGCAAACCATCATTACTCTTCTGCATTTCTTTAATAGCATATTCCAATACTAGATTAAACAGAAGAGGTGACAATGCATCCCCCTGTTTTAATCCGCTATGAATATAATATAATACTAGTATTATCCTTTTTTTTTTCTTTTTTTTTTTCGAACTCGCAGATCGTCATCAGACTATACTCATTTTGTTTTTCTGGGCGATCTGTTTGGTAATGCAGTCATTTATGATCTCCTATCTTTTTCCTGTATACATTATACGAGAGCGTTACGTTTATATAGTATGTGTGTATGTAGCCTACATTTATACACGACTGTAATAATTCAAACGAGATACGTTTGCGTAGGATATTTACTCGCTTCATAGAGACGCACTGCGTGCGCGACATTGATCGATTCGCGAGAGGAAAGAAAGGGAAAGGACGGAAGGGTTATAAAGCGAGTCTAAAAATTTTGCTGTGAGTTATATGTTAAATGCAATTGCTTGGAAAAAAAAGAAAAGGAAAGAGAGAAATATGGTCGATGAAGAAATAAATAAAGGGGCATTGTTACAAGTTATACGGGCTAATAGCTAAAATGTTTCCATGTGTCTATGTGATATACTGGATGTCCATTGCGTGCGTGTGTGAGTGTGTGTGCGTGTGTATTTCTAAACGTTATACATTGATAAATTCAGTTAAAATCCAAGGCTTTCTTCAAAGTCGACTACTCGTGCCCTGTCACGCGAGAACGCGAGCTTCTACTCGCATTCCCGTTAAGACATAAGACAATAACTTAGATAGACAATGTTAACGTGTGTATATGTATGTATGTATGTATGTGTATATACATACATACGTATATAGTATAATAGATGTGTGATTTCTGTCACTTGCATTTATGTCTTATTGGAAATTGGAAGAGAGTGAAGTGCAAGATGCATCCTGGAGATGTGGAGGCGTTTATCGGAAATCGATGAAGAATCGTCACGATATTTTCAAATACTCTAATTTGAGTAAAACTCGGCGTTTTACTGCCAAAACGTTCGAGATATGGTAATGAGATTGATCCATCGCTGTCCTTTTTAGTCAAATATTTCAATACTTTTGCGTTCTAAGACTTGGAGGTGATTTCGCCGATCTTTTTCTTTTTTTTCATTTTATTCTTTGACGATCGTTCTCTCTTTTTTTGAAGACGTGCAATCTTTTCTTTTTATTCAATCGACGCTTATGAGCTAGTTTGCAGAGCTCCTAACGAGCTGTTTGAAATTTATATATCATTAAGTTAACGTTCGTTCGAGGAAGATCGACGAAATCTTAGTCTCAGTAGCAATTAGCTTTTAGTGTATTTAGTTTATGAAGTACAAAAATGAATGGAGAACCAACGATCTCTACGATGAAAGTAATTCCAAGAATATATTAAATATAATTGAAAAGAGGGAATATAAAAAGAAATGCGTGCGATTTTACGAGTAGGAATAGTCGAGCGTGTTTGCTTTCCCTTGGGAACGTTCGTAGGCAGGCGGGTGATCTCGGGAACGGCGATTTTACGCGTCGCACACAAAAGTGAATTAAAGCGTCGATCGATATAAAATAAGATAATATTTATTATTTCATGAAATACAGATAATATATGCCTTTCCCCAATGCCACACTGACGATATACATTCCTTGCTCCGCGCCTCGCTAGGACACTGAACGTTCTTTTCCGCTTCCCTTTTCTCCCTCCCTCGAACCTTTTTTTCTCGCCCTGCGGGCAATCGGCTACGATTTCGAACCGATAGTGAGCAAGTTTATTGCTGAGTAAAACGTATTAGAGAATTTATCTGCACGAGCGTTTTTGCGTCCTAGCGGTTTTTTTTTTTCTCTCCTTTCACACCTCCATAGAACCTCGCTTCTTCCTTCTCTTTTTATCCAATCGCCGTCCTGCGATCCTTACTGTCGGTCAAGCGTAATACGATTAACTCGAACATCGGAAAACATGTATGTGGCGCATAAAAAACGTTTACTGTAAAATGGTAGTAATGGTAATCAGTTTGTATCGACGGAAACAGCGGTCCCGGAATATCCCGAAAGTATACAATGATGAAATAGTGTTGCAATCCTGATTCGTATAAAATTATGAAACTAATTGTAATTACATTTTCGGTTCAAAATTACATTATATAAATCGGATGGTAAAATGCGATGTGAATTATGAAACGAAAAATAGTTGGATGAAGCTCATGAAGAATTATTATACTTCTTTCAATATGTGTTAAGGGATCTTGAAATTATTGTAATTTCACAGTAAAAACAAAATTATTCCGCGATACGAGTCGTTATGTACTGAAAAAAAAAAAAGATTTAATAATAGCTATCAAATATCGAGTGAAATAATTCTACTTAAATATTCGGTTAATATAATAAAAAATAATTTTATTTTTTCTTAGATATTTAATTTAAGTATTACCAAACGTAACAACTGTTAATACTAAATATATATCTAGAAAAATAAAATTATTTTTATTTATATTAATCTAACATTAGATTAAAATTATTTAGTAGCTATTTTTCAGTTTTTCTTTTTCAGTTCTTTTACAAACAGTATGTTACGTCCGTGGAAAGAAAATGAAAACCAGGCTCCATTTCCGCCGGATGATGTATGTCAGTGATATGTTATCCCCATCGTAATATCATTCTAATTTAACATTCGACTCGCCTACACTTGTAACATTAAACGAGATAACACTTATTAATTTCCCTTAAACTTTACGCGATTACAGTTTCGCAGTTTGCTTAGCTTCTAAGATTCGTAACAAAAATGTCAACTGACGGTCTGCGAACCGGGAGATGATCACGATTGCGTCTAATACAATCAAGGAAGATGTCCTAAATGTCTAAGTGTTTTGGCGATCATATTTCCGCGATTCGCCCCATGAATGGCCGCATCCTCGTCATTTTTTATCTACGGAAAATTAACGGAGGTCGCCCATGTAAGTCTAATCGAGGGAAGATCTCTTTATCGTCACATGCGACTCTCATCTCAAACGAATTACAATCATAAAAAATTTTTTACCCAAATTGTCATGATATTTAAGTCGTTAAAGGCGTTTACAGACTCGCTTCTAGGCGTCGATTTCTCTTCAACTTTGACACCAGTCGCGAATCACTTTGGCGGTTGCGCTCGTCATTTCAAATATGATCGGTATACAAAAGGACAGGAATTGTTTTTCACTCAAAATCAATTGATGCACCCGCAAGGCTCGTATACGAGCATCTACGATAGATAGGGAGGTGTGTGTATGCTGGGTACGTATATGTATATACACATATGTATGTGTGTGTGTGTGTGTGTGTGTGTGTGTGCATATATATATTTACATATATTGGGAATCTCTCACGCGGGGCGACTATACCTTGTGCAGCTTGGTTTGAAAGACATCAGGTACATCTCGACGTTTCGTTACGTCAAACGGTGATTCGTTCGAGTGATACAAAACGGTACGCTCGATATTAGAATACGACGTATGTAGATTTACGTACGTGTGTATGTACGTATATTCGCGTGCCGTTTTCCCGCTCTTCAGTCGTGTGCATCGATCGCACCGTAGCGGAAAAGCGTATATGTGTACATAAATGTATATGTATAAGTACATACGTGTGTATGCATAT